CCCCCCCCCCCCCCCCACACACAATTGGAATTATTTGACAGAGAAAAATATTAAAATAGCAGCAAAATTCAATGATCACGAGATCAATAGGAGGGAAAAACCCTAAGGTAAAGGGGTAGGTATAAACAAAGAAATACCCTTCATGGTAAGAGGTGATTTTATCATCAGTACTAGGGGTCATTACTGGAAAATCAGATTTCTAGTAACATTCATGCCGAACCAAGGAAAGGAATCTTGGAGTAATCAAGTTAGGGTAATGATCACCCGGGTTAAGAGACGCTATGGAAGAAACATGTTTCCTCATAGCTTCATGATCTGATACAAAAGAAAATTCTTGTGGGACAATCTCAAAAATAGTGGGTTCAAATCAGGTTCTCGCATGGGTTCGTTATGATGTCTCCCTCTAGAGCAAGACCTAGGAGTTAAGGAAGTTCTAGCCCTAGAAGAAGAAGGCTTAGTGGTACTACTTTGAGGAGTAGAACTATGAGGGGACAACGGACCTAAGCTATATAGTCTGACACCTCTCCTACTCCTAGTAGGGGCGGTAGAGGGATGAAGCTCTTCAACGATCACCATCTTACGAGGGTCTGATAATGAAAAAGGGTTTATTGAACGAGAAGACATCTTTAATGGTAGAAACACAGAAGAAAAAAAAAAAGAACTACAAGAGAAGTTAGAGATATGAATGCAAAGAAGAAGAAAAAGATTTTCGAAATTGAGTGTGATGGGGTATTTATAGGGAAAGGCAACCGTCATCAGAGAGGGTCATTATGAACTGTCAACATGGAATCGCCACTTCGTGACTGATGCAACCGCACAAAAGCCCTAAAAAGGCACTGAAAACTACATAACCAATTATAATGAGACACGTATTTTGAGCATTAAATAAACATGACATATGTCTCATCGATTCTGAAGAAGGTATTGTGACAATCGGGAAAAGGCGGCAAGAAATTTTTGCCATAAAAAAAACTTACCACTTTCGAATATTCAGTAGAGAATATTCAGAAAGTGTGGGGGAGGAGAGACTATCTGTATTGGTAGAAAAAAGACATGACACGTGGACTATCAGTGAGGTGACAATTGGCATTTTCAGTTGAGTCAATAAATGAAATCGAAAAGGCACGAATGAAATACCCTCGAGGTTCCATCATAAAAAGTACCGGCCCTGACAACTAGAAATGAAGAAATAGGCACGAGGTGAATGAAGAACATAAAAAGGGACGATTCATGAATCTCTTATAAATAAGGAAGGGAAATCGACGTTGATCTTGGTTACGAAAAATCTTCAGTCGTTATTGTAACTGTTATAATAAATTATGGTAACGGGCAATCAAGGCAATTAATGCCATTAAGAATCCAGAATTAACTAGGAAAATCGTTATATAATTGTGTATCCATATATAAAGACTCAGTCTTCATTTGTAAATGCATATGAATATTTATCAATAAATGCAATTAGTCTTTTACTTTATTCAAGGTACTCAAACCGCAATTCTGGGAGAGATTAGCGTTTTACAGTAAGATTTCTTTCCTTACTTATTATTTCCATTATTGTTTCTATTCTTTGAATTACCAAGAAAAGTAAAGTAATTTTGGTTATAAGTAACTCTAATGTTTCCTAATATTAGCTTTGACCGAAAAATCTATTTTTGGACAACAACCATTAAATTGATTGGGCTCCTACAATGCTACATTGTTCTTGAGATTTTTCATCACCTTACTGCCAGATATCTAGAAAATAGAGTTGACGTATCATTCATAGTCTTCTTTGTCAAGATTGGCCGACATCTGATGTTTCGTTAAACCCTCCTCACAAACAGATTTGATCCCAAAAATTTAACTCCTAAAATTAAATAACGAAAAGGACATGTGAAACGACCCAAAACTCAACCTGTCGTGATGGCACAACCCAAAACTCAGACACTTCCAACACTATTAAATTTGAGATATGCTAAACAAGTTTTAAATAAGTAAAACTCTCATAAAACTGGATAAAAATGTTAGGAGATATTTAGAATTGACTAACAGGACGATGACATGTGTCCCTCCATTTAAATGAGGGGTATATTTGAACCCAAAGTATAGTGGTAGGGGTATATTTGGACTCATAGTATAATGAAGGGTATATTTAAATCTTTTTTCGAAAGTACAGGGGTATATTTGGCCCTTTACTGTATATTTTTTGGATCGGATGGCATGCCGCCACAGGTATGTTATGTGGATCGGGTTGCACGCCGCAACGATATCATGCTTGGATCGGGTTGCACGCCGCAATAGGTCATATTTGGTTCGGGTTGCACGCCGCAACAGTGTGATGTTAAGTATGGTTCCCTATACTTATTTTTGTATGTCTTGTTTCTTATCTCTAGGGAAGGTTCATAGCAGTTGTTGGCCGTTTTATTCATTATGTGGGCTTGATAGTTCTTTGCCAGAGTTCGTTCTTTCCTATGGGTCATACTCGAGTTGTAGTTTGTTGGTGCTTTGGTGGCGTCATATCTGGTTTTTATTTTAGCTAATATTTTAACGAGGCACATTATCTGGTGAATAGACATTCAGGGGGGAGAGTGTTATAAATAGTATTTTATTTATGGTGAATGTCTATATTTTAGAGAGATCTTAGGGTTTGTTACTTGGTAGCTAAGCTACTTTTTCCCTATAAATAGAGGAGTTCTATTCCATTGTAATTCATCTTAAATCAATAAGAATTTTCTCTCCCTACTTTTCTCTGCATTACTCTTCTTCTTCTTTTATTGTTTTATAACAGCAAATTAATATACAAGTATATTATTTACAAGTAAATTTATAAGTCAATCAGTCAATATATTTAATCTTATCTTAGTCTTTGCTGTGTTTTCAAATTTACACTTAACTATTGGCTGAGGAAACATTAAGGTCAAGGTCAATTTCATCTTTTCCTCTATTGTATTCCTTATGTGCCAGTTTTAATTATAATGTCACATAAATTGAACTGAGGGGTAGTAGGTTAATACTTCAACTTTAGTTAAGAGTAACTGACTAGTGTAAATAGTTGACCCTTCTTTGGTAAAAACTGTAAATGTTATCATTGCAACCAAAAATAAATCCTTAAAACCAAGGAGCACCTAGTGTCTCTCCCTCCCTCCCTCACAATGGAGATTGAGATCAGCTAAGCCTCAAACTTCCAAAATTTGTATTGACACTTGTGTTTCTAAATATCTTCCAGTAGCTTGCTTTTCATGTATGATAGAATCTGAAAACAAAGTCCCGCAACACTGTGATATGTGGCACTCTCACCAACTTGAAACATTAATGTCACATGGGCAATTGTTATCGTTTCTTCTTCTTATTCCAAGGCCTTTCATTGTCTTGGCAATCTGTTTCTGGTTCTTTTTTCTTTCTCAAAGTTGCTCGTATTCCAATTTGAAGCATATGTCCTTTTGTTATTGTCATATGCAGCCTCTATATTTGTGACGGACGATTGCCCACAGGGAAATTCCTGATGTCATATTGGAAACTCTGCTAATTTTGCTATTTGAACATGTGGAGCATGTGGGTATGGTGATTTTCCTTTGTTTGTGTTGCTTCTAGCTTTTACAACTTCTTTGTTTGTAGGTTGTGTAATCCTACTTGTAATTTCCTGTGTAGTACTATGCCCAGGAAAAATAGTAGATTAGGATGTATACGTGATAATCTTCTCCATATGGAAATGGAAGTTAAAGCTAAACATAATATACCCATTGATTTGGGTACATGCACAACGCACGTACAACAAAACTAGTATAATGGAAAAACAAAGAGAGCACATCCAAGCTACTCTTCATTTTCGTAATCGGTTGACATCAATAGTCCTAATCTCCCCACTAGCTCAAGTTCTTAAGGTCTCTTGTCTTTGTGTTTGATATGTTGAGGGAAAAAAATCATAAATTTAATAGTCAAATCTTGAATTATAATACTCGTATGTGGTGTTATGCTAAACCATTGAATACGTGGCATATATCTTGAAATACACTCTTATCACCGAATCATAATTAATTAATACATATTCTTAAATCAATTTACAATTTAACTAGTATGATTTTGTGTAAATATGTGATCCGGGTTAGTCTTTTAGCATTATTGTATATTATTAATATTTATTAGAATAAAATACTATATCTGTATTTTTCATGTTCAGAATAATCGTATATCCTACGGATGAGAACTTTTTTACGTTTACGAAGTGTGAGATTTTATTATGATATTTATAATGAGTATAGAATATCAAGAAATCAGGGGTAGAATAATTCTCATCTCCTGAAGACCTTGAATTACAATGTAATTACTCATTTATCTAATAATCTTACTTATTGTTAAAGTAATGGTCCCGTAGCTCAGTTGGTTAGAGCGTTGGTCTTAGCGGGTTTGAGCCCCGCCGGGACCATTACCTCGGTGGTAAAAACCAGTCACATGAATTGTCGTTCAATACACGAGTCTATAGCTGTTAGTTACAAAGTACAGATTATTCACTTTTTTGTAGGAGGAGTTCAAAGGTGAAAATTTGATCAGTTATGAGTTTGATATGTCTGTCATTATTGGCATTTGGCAAAGAAATTCATATCAGGGGATACAAGAAATTACTAGAATGTCACAACTAGGATTTGAACCTGTGACCTAAAGCAGTTTTTGAACCATCTTTGCGACCAGACTAAAATCTTCTTTTATGAACCCCCTTGCCTGAACCTAGCTCCGCGCTCCGCCTTTGATCAGAGCTTCTAAATAGTAACTCATCCTTCTAGCTACGGCTTTCATATAGGCTTTCGTCGTAGGATCCTTTTGTAGCGACAACTCCTTGTCCGACATTGCAGGGGCGGAGCCACAGTGTCGGTTGCGGGTTTGGCGAACCCAGTAACTTTTGTTCAAACCCTATATTTATATTAACGAATCCAATGAATATGCACAAATTATTAATTTAGAACCTAGTAACTTAAAAGAATTATACTCCAGAGCCCATAAGGTTCAAATCCTAGCTCCGCTTCCGCGACATTGTACATCTAAAAGCCAGAGGGAAATCCGCCCTTCCTTGGATCACTTATAGCTACAAGCTCCCCTAACTTTGATGACTTGAATTCCTGAACAACAAACTGACAAATTGTACCTCCAGCTATACTTTGCAGGATATGGCCCTTCTTTTGCAGGGAAGTTCTTGTTTTTGCTGGAACTTCTATGTGGTCACCTGTTACAATTGTCCAATTCTCGTATTGTAGTACATTTGGAATCAACTGCAAACAACAATATTATGAAGGTTCAATAAGCTTGAAAATCAGAAAATTGGAAGTAAGTAACTCAATTTTATGTAAAAGCAAACTTTTGAAATATGAGAAGCATCTTGTCAATGTATTCAGTATTCACAAAGATTGAGAATATCCATTAATATAATCTTTCAAAGGCTCTGTATCAAATATTTTCTCTTGACTTCTGTGTCATTTATCGCATGTTTTGGATTATTAAAATGATAATAACAATTAGCTATTATAATATAAGTACCTGATGGTAAGATCTTGGAGCCATTACAGAAGAGAAGGGATCCATTCCCCTTGCAAAGTGATTCAGAAAAACCTCAGTTGTACCAGCAATAATCATTGCTCCTCCACTTGCGCCAATAACCGCTCTCAGTTGTTCACCCTATTATGACAAATAAGGTTCAACAAAATCCCCTATTGTAAAGTATGTTTTTCAATGAGTTAAGCTTGTTAAAACTTGGACAAATCTGAAATTTTTACCTTGAGAACAATGGTAGGTGTCATTGATGACAATGGCCTTTTGCCCGGACGGATAAAATTTGCAGGTGCTGGCGGTGGAACATTTTCGGAACGTTTTTCAGGAATTGAAAAATCATCCATTTCGTTGTTAAGAACTATCCCTGTACTTGGTGATAGATATTTTGCACCAAAGTAAGCGTTTACAGTGCTAGTCATCGAAACAGCATTTCGATCACTGTCCACAATGGACATGTGGCTGGTACCATGATCATGTATTTGATTCCACCTATTTGAGATCAAAGGTTTGTCAAAATTGTTACATTTGAATATATCACTCACTCTAGCAAAAAACAATACAAGTTTTCCTGATACAGGATTTCAAGATATATGATAATATAAATAAGGTAAAAGAGAGAGCATATATCAAGTTTCTAGTTAAAGTTGCTTACTTGCCACCATAGTGATTGGGATTGAAAGTCATGTTGTCATATATGGTCTTCTTCAACTGTTTTGCAAATTCAGTTGACAGCATATCGTCTATGACGCTTTTTATGTTGATGAAATCTGGATCGCCGAGGTTCATCTTCAGTGCAAATGCATGTTTCAACGCTTCAATTTGTCGATGAATTAGAAGGGGACTTGGACCTTCCATGGGAATTCCATATTGTGCAAGAATGTTCAGCATCTGAGGAAGACAAATAAAAGCATTTCTTCAAAAGTGGTAACATAGAGATGATTAATAGCTTGTTTGGCTAAGCTTCTCCAAGTTGAGAAACACTTTTTTTTTTTCAAAAAAGGTGCTTTTTTTCGACGTTGAAGTGTTTGGCCAAGCTTTTAGAATAAGAAAACAGTGTTTTTGAGTAGAAACAAAAACATTTTTGGAGAAGCAGAAAAAAGTAGTTTCTTCCCAGAAGCACTTTTTTGAGAAGCACTTTTGAGAAAAATACGCTTAGAAACACTTTTTAAAAGCTTGGTCAAACACAAATTGCTGCTTAGAAGTGCTTTTCAAATTAATTAGTCAAACACAAGCTACTTTTCACCAAAAGTACTTTTGAAAAAACGCTTTTGAAAAAAACCACTTCTCAAAATAAGCTGATTTTTCCAGCTTGGCCAAACAAGCTATAAGAGTGTTCAGCCCACCCCCTCTTCGTC